TTAGCGAATGGTTGCATGACGAATCCACCTTCGCTCTCTGAGCAATTGATGACATCGTCTGTTGATTGCCTGTGGCAGTTTGAGCAGATCATCATTAGAAATGATCCGTTGTGTGTGCATTGCGTTCTCCTCAAAATCGCAATGTGTATCCGGCTTTATAGGATCGCAAAAAGTAATGTGATTTGTATATTTTGAGGGTAAATGTAAGTAGATCCAAATTTGTGTTCTTTTCTTCTCACAGGAATTATACATTATTAAGAAACTTATTTTCCTACTAATTACTGTGTATTTGGGATAATTATTTGGGAATATATTTGTTAAATATATTTCATTAATAATAATAATAATAATTATAATAATAATAATAATAATAATAATAATAATAATAAAACTTTTGATACACCATGCTTAAAGTTAAACTTATTTTTTGTTGCAGCTAAAAGCTGAATTTGAGTAGTAGTATTAAAATATAAGTACAACAAACATCAAACATGATAAAGAAAAAACATTAAACATGGCAAATAATTCAACTTCAAAAACATCAACTACCGTAAAACTTTGAATTGAAGCCCTGGGCTTCTTCTTGTTTTTGCAAACTTTGGATGGGCTTCTTTTTGAGATGGGCTACTTTTCGAGATGGGCTTCTTTTCGAGACTACTTTTGCAAAGTATAGAGGTGGGGGGGGGGACTTCTTTTCAAAATGAATGCTGTAAATTTTTTGAATTTGTAAAATTAAACAATTAGTAAGGTCATTGTAATATTAATTTGTATTGTGTAGTATATTCAATGGGCATAAATCACCTAAACTAATGTATAAACCAAGCTTGTTTTTAACTTATTTTAGTTTATGAAATTCATGCACAGTGTACAGTATGTAGAGTACTATCTCGAAAAGAAGCCTATGCTATTTTGAGATGGGCTTCTTTTCGAGGCTAATTTTGCAAACTAAGGGGCTTCAATTCGAGATTTTACAGTGTAAAAGGGGAAAATGTTCAAGTAATTGCAATAACATTGGAACAATAATGGAAATTGATCAAAAGGAAAGAGACCATACAGACTAAAAGATTATTGCAATTACAAATAATTAATTTCATTGATTAAAAATAGTAGAATATATTGTTTTAATTTAAAAAAAACAATAAAAAAAAAGTATTAAGATACCACAGATAATAAAAAATATAAATAAAAAAACCCATTTAAATGCATGATGTATATTATTACTATGCTATCTAAATGCTATTATTGAATTGTACATGCTACACAAGACATAATTAATTAGTTTTTGTAAGAATCTGAAAAGTTCTAATTTTGAATTTGTTTAAATATCAACAATAAAATTTATGATTTACAACAAAAAAAACCAAAAAAATGCAATTGCAAAGTAGTAAATTAGTTGAAATGAGTATCTATTAATAGTCATCAATTTTCAGACAGTTACAAATAAATCATCAATTATGATCTCCACACAGGAAGAATACAAACATGATTGTTAGCAAGTGTGATGGGGAATAATTTCATACTTCCTTAATAAGTTGTGGTGGCAAATTTATGCATTGTTTAAAATGCACACTTGATAGACCATGCACATAACATTAACGTGTTGAAGATTGTTCGTAAGAAACAGACGTTGAGGCGCTTTAATATTACTTTGAAACTATTTTGTCAACTTAGGTTAAAAAGAACATTTGGAATGGGACAAAGAATTGTGGCACATAAGTTATTTTGAGACATAATTTGTGTTAAAGACAATTTTAGCCTCAGTGTTTGTTGCATTATATGTTATTTTCTGGGAGATTCTTGCTTGTGGGAGTGCGGGGGTGGGGGGTGCCCCAATTTCAGGGAGACTCCCCGCGACATCAGAGAGGCTTGGGACCCATGTGATTATTTTTGAGTACTTAGAAGTTAGAGTGCGCTAACACTGCTCAGTGGTAAAATATGTCAATTTCAAGTATAATTTATGAGATTTTTATGATTCTGCTTTAGTTAGATGAATAATTTCTTGGGCATGCTAGAAGGTTTTCTTAAACTCCATACTTGGTTAATCATCTACCATACAGGTTTAATAATTTACAATTTGAGTATGTTGAAATGGAGCAGACTGCTTAAAGAAACATTCTCCCTGGAGGCTACTTTTTTTAGCCTGTGTTAGATAAAATTTATTATGGAAAAAGACTCAAGATCCCATAAATGACCTAGTAATCATTTAAAGTCAATCACAACATTATCATTGTACATATCCAACATTATTTACCTGTCCCAAACCTGCACTACCTTTAGCTATTTGTGTGTAGATGTTCAAGCAAAACTCTACATATCATTGTATATCCAACATTATTTACCTATCCCAAACCTGCACTAATACTTTAATAGTGCATGGTAAGCTTGATCTTTTTAGTAGTTCATGTGTAGAAGTTCAAACAAAATTCTATATGCCATGCAGGTCCTTAGGAATTTGTTCTTGCATTAATCTAACCTTCATATAATAATTTCCACTAATGTACTTTATTAACCCTGGCTATTGGTTTCATATTGATAAATATGTACACTGTACAACCTTCTCAGATCCATATGAGATAGTACAGTACATTGAAAACTTAGCACAAACTAGATGTTGGCTTATAATACAGTATTTGCCATTGGTTTGACATGTCTTTGTGGGCTCTATTGAACATGATAATCACATACTGTATTTGAATAAAACGTTCCAGAATACAAAATATGAGATAGTGTGTTGGAATATAGTTGTTTTGTGCAACCAATATCAGAACATTCCTCCAGTTACCCATTTATCACACAAACACTGGAGTTGGGATAAGCCACTATAGGATAATCATTAAGTAGAACAGAAAGTAAACAAACAATTAAAAATATTGTAAGGTTTGGTGATGGTATTACCTGGTGTGACACCTGGTTCTTGTGTGTGCCAAGCATGTTACTTTTGGGCTTGAAAATTATATTTTTAAGCCCAAAAGTAGTTTATGAAATGTAAGAAATAAAGAGAATAATCATTGTACGATGTGAGTCAAATTGAGATTGCGAACATTAACTAAATTTGCATTATTATTGGTACGTTGATTATGACAGCTTTGACATGCTACATCTACTAGCACGCTAATGCATACCGGTAATATGCAAGGCCACACAGAATGATGTAAAATCACGGATTATTTCAAACTACAACTAACGTCCATGGAAATATGCCGGTCCCATTTATGTTTTCCTAACACCAAAGGATAGAGATAATATTAATCCATGTTACATTATTCATCATTATTTTGCGATGTTTATAGGTATTATTATATTAAGGTCAGGTTGTAGATGAAGTATGTTATTGCAAATGGTTTACAAAATTACAAATATGTTTTTATTTTAAACAAGCTATTGGTTACCTGTCCTTTTAAACATTTAGTACCTAGCCATGACTTATACCAATAATTTTTTTTCCAAGTGATCTGAATTTAAATTTATCATTGTGGTATAAGGCCAAACAAAATTGTTGTGTTGGCAAAGATCATTGACTTTAGAAAATCAGCATCAGTAGGTCGGCAATTACTTTTTTTTTAAAGTATGGCCTAGGCCTAATTCTAAGTTCATTGCTAACCAACACTCATACCACAAACTTTGGTTGGTAAAGTAGTTACAATAGCAGGGACTAAAATTCAAAATGGATATATATTTAATTTATTTATTAAAACTTAAAAAATGACATTTTGAACGATAATACATGTAATATGATGGGTTCCCCATTGGCTAAAAAGAAATATTAGGTTTTCAGGATTTTGGGTTGACATAGTTTTTTTTTTTGTATACTCAATAATATTAATAAGCAGGGTTTTGTAGTTGTTATTGTTATCATTTGTTATCATTAGAATTTTATTAACACCAATGATTATGTAAAGAAATATACTCTGATATTAGTTAAGTAGATGTATTGCTTTATTAGTTAGCCATCAAATAATTAGTAAAAAAGTCAATTAGTCAACTGAAAAAACCATGAACATTGTGGTATTTAGCAATGTTTTTCCTCAGGGTTATGCATAAATACAAAATATATACTTAAAAAACAAAGCTATATATCCCACAATATACAAATACGATTAAAAAATGTTAGTAATTAGTAAAAACCAAAATCTTCCGTTGTTACTTTATGTAACTTTCAATACCTTGTCCAGCAAACTTTGTTTTGAAAGATTATGTTCAGAGAGTCTAGCTTATCGTGGTACCCATTTGCAGAATAATTTTGACCAGACCGCTAAAAATGCTACTTTTAAAAATTTCAAAAGATTTATTTCAACATAATTTAGTTTCTACTGTACATTTAATATTTAAGTTTCTTTAATGTGTACTGGATAATGGCCTTGTGAAAGAAACGTCAGTGAATGACCTTTCATTGTAAATGAAAAGTTTTATTATTATTACAGGGCAAGAAAAAATATATATATTTGATTTCTTGTTTAAGAATTCTAACAATTGCATTTAAAAAAAAGGATAAAAATAAAATTAAAAATTTATTTATTAATAAAGAAATACGCAAGTATGTAAAGTATAGAAGTAATAGAGAATACCCTTCAGCTGTAGCCTGAGATCCTATTGCGTGGTTTTGCAGGGAATGTAATATTGCGATGTAATCAGTTTAAGTAACTAGTTTGATGAATGTTTTATAGTTAATTGTGAGGAAGAAATAAAGGTTTTGCTATCAGAAAATGTTATGGTACTAGTGGGCGTGATAATGTTTTTTTTTCCCTCTTAAACTTACCTTTTTAAATTTACTTTTCTTCATGGCGGCAGGTACATTAAACAGGCCAAAAACACAATTTTAATTTTATTTGAAATCATTATTTTGAGGCGGCAGGTACATAAAGCAAAGTATAATAAAATCTCGGCCAATGCATGTAAAGTAATTACAGCAAAATGTAATTTATTATCCAATCAATACAACAACATGGACGGAGGGACAAGTTAAACCATGTTAGGTCACGAACTCTACTTGTTCATTATAGGAATCCTGGCAGCACCGAAGCCATGCCACAGATACCAATGCCTCAATGAAAACACACCTTGGCAGTCCATACTGTGAAGCTCTCCGACTGTCTTCAGGTCAATTAAAATATTTTTAAGGATAAAATAGGCAAAATAAACCATTTGCAAGCTTTAATGATTCCAAACACGATGTACAATGTGGTTGTTATCAAATTTGAAAAATTGCCTGTGAGAATAATTTTCATAGAATATTTTGTTTAATGCATAGTTCTTAATGTATTTAAATTTTCTGAAGCAGATATTAGTGGTTAATGTTTACTTTGTAGGAGAAATGGTTATGGTGATAATAATAATCTAACTTCATAAATGTGATGGTGAATAAGTATAAAATAAAGAGTATGTATTTAAACAAATAATTATGAAAATAGATAATAATTTTAGATAATAAATGCTTAAGTAAGATTTGTATTTAAAAAAGTTAAAATTTACTTCCAACTATGCAACATTCTCAATTGTTTTTCTTTGTAAAATTTTTTGTCTTATCTTTTCTTGTTTTATGTTTCTCCTTATAGTCATGTAATTTTAATAATGTATACTAGGGAGTTTTATTGTTTTATTTTCCATTTGAGTTTAAATAAAAGTGAAAAATATACTATGATGCATATTGATTATAATGATGAATAAGTATAATGTTCATAATATTATAATGTGAATATGTATGGTGATACAAAAAAGGAAGAAAGTGGATAAATTAATAAGTTTTGATGATGAATAATGTGATGGTAAATAACTAATATAAAATTATGAATAATAAAATTTAAGAGATATTTATGTTGATGAAGAAATATTTATGATGATGAATACCGTAGATATTTATGATGATGAATAAATATTTATGATGGTGAACCTTAATACTGATGATAATGTATGAGAATGAAAGAATAATTAATATAATGATGTTGGTAAATATATATCAAGGATAAAAATCATTATGATGGTAATGACAAATATAATGACAAAATGTATAAATAAAAAACAAAATAACAATAAAAATGATGGTTATGAAAAAGGATGATAATGTGAAAAAGATGATTGATGAAAGAATGATTATAAATGATGATATAGTCAAAGGGATTATAATAAATATAAGAACATCTAACAAATGTATAATTTTATCATGATGTATAGAGTTAGCTACCTTAAAAAAGGAATAATATAGTAAGGATTTGATCGTCACAGATATAACAAATTATATAAAGTACTATAATCAATGTTTATGAGTACAATGGGATTTTATATTTTCATGAGGAGAAAGATGGAATGTTCCATTCAACAAGGTGTAACGAATATAAAACATAAAACACCTACTGTATAAAAATATCTACCATAGATTTTATTACCGAAATCCTCTACGCTCACAGGGGTCAAAACGTAATTGTGTGGTCAACCCAATCCTACAATTTTCTCACCTTCCTCAAGGTTGTGCTCTTCAGTGATGGAAAATGAAATTGCACAACAAAATTACTATATGAAACAAAAAATTTACAAAAAGTGATGATAGTCATGATTGCAATTTGTTTTTTCTTTGAATGGAAACATTGATCCCATAAGAAGTATAATCTTCAACGTCTTAAAATATTGTAGGGTCTCTTGTCCAAATCAAAATTTTGAGTTTATTAATTTTATGAATGTTTTTTGTATATTTTTAAATAACAGTGTGAAATGCATAAACATCTTTTTTAAATTGAAAAAAAAAAAAGAAATCTCCAACAGCTGTAGATTTTTATAGAGCACATTAAAGTAAGCAAATGCGTAGACAGTAGTATGTATTGTATGAGGCTAGAAAAGGTTGGATTTAGTTCAAGGAGATTTTAGTTTCTGTAGATTTCTGTTAGCTGGGCTTATGGGCACAGCTGTCGATACAGATGTGATTATCAGAAAAACTAAAGGGAAAGGTTTTCTTTATTGTTTCTCTGCCAGCTAACATTTAAAAGATAAAAATCTGGAGGTTGTATGAAAGATGTTGAATTTAGATTGATAAGGAGTATCTGTATGGTGTTTCTGTAGGATAGTGGTGGTACCAGGAAGGCAGTTACAGTATTCCAGGACCCTGATTAAGGCTCTAGTCAGCCCCTTGGTTCGCACTCCCCTGTCGGCAAATTTCTGGTCCTCCACTGTCGTAGGCGCATTTGTATGGTGCTTCTGTAGGCAGTGGCGGCTCTACGATATATTTTCTGGGTGGGGGGGGGGGGACTCCCGAGGTGGGAGAAGGGTTTCAGAGGGTGATTTTTTTAAGAACAGGAACCTCTGGATGGCCAGAAATAATGACACTCTCTGATTGTGACAGTGTTGGCTTGGCTTGGGCCTATTTTATTATATTTTTTAGTCCAACTGCCTGACGAGCTCTGTCCGCTGGTGGGGCTTGACCCGTCCGGTGGGGCTTAAGCCCCAGCTTCCCCCCCCACTGGTGCCGCCACTGTCTGTAGGAGCATCTGTATGGTGTGTCTGTAGAAGCATCTGTATGATGTGTCTGTAGGAGCATCTGTATGGTGTGTCTGTAGGAGCATCTGTATGGTATGTCTGTAGGTGCATCTGTATGGTGTGTCTGTAGGAGCATCTGTATGGTGTGTCTGTAGGAGCATCTGTATGGTGTGTCTGTAGGAGCATCTGTATGGTATGTCTGTAGGTGCATCTGTATGGTGTGTCTGTAGGAGCATCTGTATGGTGTGTCTGTAGGTACATCTGTATGGTAGGAGCATTTGTATGGTGCATCCGTAGGAGCATCTGTATGTTGTTTCTGTAGGAGTATCATCTGTATGTTGTGACTGTAGGAGCATCTATACTGCATTTTTTGGAGCATTTGTATGATGTGTAGTAGGTGTATCTACTGTATACTCTATGGTGTGTCTGTAGAAAATCTGTATGGTGGGTAGAGATCAGAGCATATCTTATATTATTCAATTTTAAGTTTCTATCCAATATCCTAAAAGAGACCAGTCTTTTTTGACTGAATGGACCAATTGGTTATATATTGTGGATAAATAAGTAACTCTGCTGCCTCTTATAATTGTGTACATAGTACTGTATTGTTTCATTTTGGGGATTCTGACATCATGGATATATATAGGTCCACGCTGACATAAGTGGTGTAGGCAGAGTGAAAATGACCAGGAGACAAATGCAAAACATTGTGTAATGTTCAGTTAAATACTAAAATTAAAAAATGGAAGCTTTAACAAAATTGAATAAACAGATTGAAGAATGTCTGAACTGTGAGTCGATGTTCTTAGCTTTCCATCACATGACATGAGCCCTCTATATGTCTGTGTCTGTGACCTTTTTTTAGTTGGTACTATAAATATTCAATTTGACTGGTCTAAAATTTTAATTATATTAATAATATCCGTTCTGAATCTAGGGCATTGGTTCATTTTTATTCACTGAGCGTAAAAAAGTACTAAAAATTTAAAGGATGGACTTGCAGTATTTCTGAAGGTGGGCTGTACCTTTCTGAGTAGTGTATAGGCCTACTTTATTCTACGACGTCAGTATAGCACTCATGTTTCATGCTTAAACAGCTGATAGAAAGAATTGTTTGATGATCTACATGTCTGCATTCAGAAAATTCTAGAATGGTAAACATAGGGGTGCTTTCTTCTTTTCTCAGTAGCTTTTAATTATTTTTTCACATAGAAATTTTCATGTAGTATAAATTATCACCTCCATTGCTCTCCTACAAAAAATGCCATTTTAGCAGAAATATAAAAATGTATCAATTTTCCTTCATATAGTCTTAAAATTTGCAAGCTATATTGTTTTTCTATCTAGTTAAATTGTGAGGCTTATTATTAAAATTTCTTTTTGGGTACTATTAAATAGATTAGGTAGAATTTTATTGTTAGTCGATGTCAAAACTCCTGCTAATGATATTTTTGATTCCCTTGGTGAATAAACTTAATGATAAACGCGATGCTCCATCATATTTGTCAAACTAAAATTTGTTTTTAAAGTAGATACCGTAGCCATACTAAATGTACACACAGTCATTGCAACAACAATTTTATAGCTTTTAAATAGTATTTCTCAAAGTAAAAGAACATTTTACGACAGAGCAACCAAATCATGGAATTCTTAATTTAAGGCCAACAAAATTGCTGTCAAACTAAAATTTGTATAAAAAAAAAAATAATAAAAAAATAAAAAAAATTTTTATTTTTATTTTTTAAATAGTATTACTCAAGGTAAGAGAACATTTTGCTACATACCAACTAATTATAGAATTCTCAACTAAAAGCTACAGAAATTATAGTGTAGTGAAGATATACCATATGTATTCTAATAAATGGGGCGTTTATTGTTGAAAAGGTTTTTTAAAGGCATTTATTCAAGGGAGGCATTTATTTTGGTGGAAAATGGACATGTATTTATTCAAATAAAAAATTCTTAATTTCACTGTAACATAGAACTACAACAGTCAGCTAATCTGGTGGTAGCCACTGTGTGTGCGCTGAATCGTGGAGATCTCTAGGTCCCCGGTCCAATTCCCATCGCTGTCTCTCCTTGTGTTTCAGCTGGAGGGCTAAAATACAAGTTATAATAGCGCACCGTCTTTCGGATGAGTTAAAGAACGCAGTACACTCATTGGAAAGAGTAGGGGACTGTCCCCCGGTGTACTGCCCAATCACCACTAGAAGGACCCCACTGGAAATAAGTCTTCTTCTAGACTTTCGTGGGCTATCCTTGGTGTTTACACCGAATAAATCTAATCCAATCCAATTACCATCAAAATGTGTTATTGTGTGATCATAAATACTTATTGATCTGATAACCAACCAGGTTAGAACAAAATTTAACTCTACTATAGTGGAACATTATTAGAATATATTTAGAATAATGTTGCTTCCATTAGATTTGTTTACAGTCATTTAGGGGCGTTTTTTGAAGGAAAAAATAAACGCCTCTGGTCACTTGGAGACATGTATTCCAAATAAGGCTCTAGAGGGGGTGTTTAATTGAGGGAGGTGCGTATTCTACTGGAGTAAAAAATTCAGCAAAATAGAAAATAGTACTACAATTATTCAACAAAATTATCAGCATACATTTTTCTTCTTCAGGTTCCATGTCTTGTAGCTTGGGCAATCAAACATTTTCAAAGGTCTTTATTGCAACATGTATGAATCAATTTGTAGACCTGTCCAATTCTAACCAATCCCTAATGTTGTCTGTTTCCGTTGTTGTCTGCCTTTGTAATTGTCTCTATCAGCATGCATGTTAACCAAATATATTTTGAAATTATATTTGGATAAAAGTAAGAAAACAATCTTGAAAATGCTTATTAGTCATCAAAGTTCCAATATTTGCAGTGAAAACATTCAGAATCATGCGATCACAAAACTAGATTAAACACACTTTAAGTAAACATGCTCTTAAGGATATAATCCAATTTAAGTTTACTTTGAGTTCATCTAAAACTACACCTAACAATTA